AGCTAAAGCTGGGAAAAAAAAAAAAACCTACTATCCAATAAAATATTGGGCAATCTTATCCGGAAAAGACAAATATTTATAAATTTTTTGACGAGAGGGGAGTAAAGTGACTGCCGACTGCCGCATGAAGCCAAGCAGGAGCGTCTGGCTTTCTATACGTGGTCCCCTTTACAAAAACTATCCAATAAATAATTATTAAACAATTTCAAAAAAAAAAAAATCAATTTTTCTGACAAATTAAAATTAATAATATTTATACTATCTCGTAAAAAAATAGTTTTTAATTGTTTTTATTAGTTAATAAATTATTTATATCTCATATTATAATGTCATCTCTATATCACACTTTTCCTTAACTTATATAAAATATAAATATAATTAATTAAAATATCTTTTTTATTCTTTAAATTACGATTTTCTTTTTTTAAAATATAAAATAATAAATCATTTTAATAAATAATAAATATTTTTTTACTCCCTTAATTATATGTTTTCTTCAATTTCTCTTTTTCTTATTTAGATAATCTTTGTTTAATTTAAATCATTCATAATTTACATATTAAATATTTATATTTTAAAATTAATATATATATATATATATATATATATATTAAAATTTTAATTTATTAAAATAAAAAGCATAATATAAAATATACAAACATACATGGATATATTTCCACTAATATTTATAAATGTTCTCCCATTCAATTTTCTAAAATTAAGTTTTAATTTGAAATAGACTTTTTGTGTCTACAAATAATAGTTATAAATATATCTTAAAATAATAGTTATATTATAATAGGTTAGAATTTATTATTTATATATCTTAAAATAAAATATATTATTTAAAAAAGTTAATCAAATGGTGTAATTGTAAATTTGATTTTAAGAATTTGTATTATTTTAAGTAAAATAGATAGTTACTTGAAATTATATTTTGGCTTCTAAATCTAATTGATTGATAGTTGATATTTGAAGAGGATGTAAATGGAAACTAGTATCCAATAAAATCCACAATTCATAATTAAAGACACAAAGTTGCATAAAGAGACAGGTACAGAGGGGCCTGACACGAGTCCCACATTGTTTTCTCAAGACAACGCAGTTTCCTACATTGTTAGCATGTTTATTAATATCACTAATTTATTTTCGTCACCTTTTCTTTTTTATTTATGTCGTTTCAATTGTACTCAACTATTTCGCATCACTTTTATAAGTGCAATTAATTTTTAGGTTCTTTTGATCTACAAATTCTAATTATCATTTTCGCATGTGTCAACAAAAACATAAGTTACTTTGTGATTTCTTAATAGTATTTTTGTTTTTATATGTTTGTTTCAGAGATAATAGATGCAAAATAAAATCTAATTAGTACCTTTATTTATCTTCAAACTATTTTGTAATTCCTAATATGTTTTTCCTTCTCTTATTTATGATGAGTAATCAACATGTAGAATATTTCAGAACTAATTATAGCTACTAATTTTCTAAAATAATAGAACATATCAGATTAATCCTTTTCCCAAAGAGTAGGTAAATAAATAAATAAAAACAAAAATTGTTTTTTATTATCAGATAATTTTTTATTATCACATTTAAAACACGATTAGAGTGTAAAAATATATTACTTTTCCGTTTTAAAGTCAAATCAACCTTAACAAAGATTGTTATGTGGTTGAATTTATAAGTATAACAATCCAATTTATTTTTTTATTTAATGACTGATAATTTTAAATAAAGAATTTGTGAAAAGGTGGATAGTGAAGTTTCACATCAAATAAATTATATATGTTAGTATTTATTTATTTTTGTTATAAAAGGAGTATCATGTCTATCTTATAAATCATTCCAGATCTTTTTTTTTTTTTTATGAGTGTATTGTACATAGTAGTTGAGTTTTCTTTTTTTGAAAGAGAATATTATTATTATTTTTTCCTTAAATTTAAAAAGGGTATTGTAATTTCTTCTTATAGTAAAATACTATTATTGCTTATTGTCTGTTTTATCATGTATATCTTATAAATCATCCCAAATATCTTATTTCTCATTTTTATGAGTGCATTGTACATAATAGTTGGGTTTTTGTTTTTATTTTTGAGAGAGAATATTATTATTGTTTTATCCTTAGATTTAAAGAGGGTATTGTAATTTCTTCTGATAGTAAAATTATATTATTATCTATTGTTTATTTTGTTGTTTTGTTCTCATCTTTTATTTTAGTTGAGTTCTTATGCTCTGATTCCTAACAGTGATATTAATAGTCATTAGAATAGTATTAGAGATTCCTAACAGTGGTATCAATAGTCATTAGAATAGTGTATTAATAATCATTAGAATAGTGTTGGAGATTCATAACAGTGGTATCAATAGCCATTAGAATAGTGTTGAAAAGAATTCTTAGTATGTTGTAGCTTTGTTTATCACAAAAGCTGAATACATGACAACCACTTAGGTACATACAAAAGCTATTTGAATTAAGATAATTAAGGAACTCGGACACAAGCAACAACCAATTGTTCTGGATTATGACAATTAGAGTGTCTTGCATATTACAAGAAATCCTGCCTTATATTTCAGAATAAAACAAAAGGAACCTAGCAAGTATTATAATAGTCGGTTAGGAGTGACAAATTCACATAGAGGCAATCCCAATGAAGGTTTATTGCAATAACAACATGGAAGACAGTAATAATGTATTGTGAATATTTGATTAATTTAATCAAAATCTTAAAGTGGAAGATTGTGAGAATGTGAGTAGAGAAGTCCCGCATCAAGAAAATTATATGTTGATGCTTACTTTTTTTCTTATAAAAGAAACACAATGTTTACTTTGTAAATTATTTCAAATCTCTTTCTTCTCCCTTTTAGTAGTATATTGCATAATAATTGACTTTTCTTATTTATTATTTATAAGAGAGAATATTATTATTATTTTTTTCTTAGATTTAAAGAGGGTATTATAATTTTTTTCAAGTAGTAAAATTTTATTATTATCTATTGTCTGTTTTGTTTCTTTTTTTCTCATATTTTATTTTAGTTGTGAGTTCTTATATAGTTACTCTCGTTTCTAATAAAATTAATTAGGAAAAAAAAGTTCGTATATAACTTAGGGATTTATATATGTTTTGGGAACTAGAGAATATTAGAAGTTAAAATAAAATACAAAGTATATGTTGGTTTTGGATGAAGTAAAATAAAATAATAATAAAATATTCGTTTATTTGAATAAAATGAAAAGAGAAAAAAAAAAACTTTTTCTTTCATCGTTCACTTCATTCTTTCACATTTGCATATGCCTTTGTTTCTTATACATAAGCAAAATTATCTATTTATATATACATTATTATCATGTTTTGAATTCTGAAAATGAAGGACATTAATTTTGTTTTTATTATATCACGAAGGAAATTCTCAGTCAAGCCAAGTTACACCCAAAGTATTGTAGTTAATATCCAGAATCTTGTCATTGATAGAGACAAATTAAGTCTATATATAAATTACTTGTGTACAATTTATTTTTTCTATTCCTTATTTTTTTTTTGTACACTTCAAGATTATTTCTATCTTTCGCATGTCAATCAACCGACAAGTAAGAGAAAGAAGAATGTTCCAACTCATACCAAAAGTGTTGCTATCATCATGAATGAATTTGTTGAGCTAACCATTTAAGTCAAGGCTAAAAAAACTACTTCACTACTCTGACCAATTATATTAACCGTAGTTTTTATATACTTTCTTAATAGAATTATGAACCAAATATAACTCATCTAGTGATAAAAGAATTTTTGTATTATAGGAGGATGTAGATTTTAACTTTATTTGAACTTTAATTTCTTCTTAAAGACAATTTTGACCTACTCTCTCTCTTTCCTAATCATAGGACTCACGTCTTAAATTATTTTGATACATGTGAAAGAATTAATAAATAATATTTAGTTTATAAAGTTCAAATTTGAATAGTTAAAAATTAACTATTGCTTAATTAGCTACTAGTTCAATCCTTTAAAATATGTTACATATACTTAATAACTGTTTGCGGGAATAAAAAGGTAACTATCATCGCCAAAAACGTTACGTGGTTCTGCAATCCAAAAATTTATTTCGGATAATTACTACTCTTACAATGACTTCATCGCAACTATTCATCAAAATCTTGAATTCTTTTTCGGGTACAGTCAAAATCTTCAATCTGTCTTTCTAGAAAAACTAATCTCGTCATAATCAAGAACTATACTCTCTGTAGTATGCTAACCTATCTGTCTAAAAGACATGGAAAAAATCTCGTCACTTTAACTTTGTAATCAAAGTTGTGTACCTTTTGGTTAAGTTTAACGACCCCAACATCAATACATATGATCCACGGTGTACATACTACACTATATATGCAGAACCTCTACTTGCTACGACAGGTCGTCGTATAAAGTAAGAAGGAGGCAGTTAGGGTCAGAATTTGTTCCAGATGCTTTGGCTAACAAAACATTGCGAAAAAAAAGTATAAAAAGGAGTGGAAAAGAGCAGCACAACTCTTCTGAATAATTTTAAATGTCTTATAGTTACCCTCTTGAAGAAACAATACATGACAGATGAAAATTATTTATGTTTCCATTGGAGAAAGAAGCCGCTTCAATAGGGAAGCACAACAAAAAAAATAAAAATCACAGAAGAATTATTCCTCTTTTATCATCATTTATGTCGGCTGAAGCTCTTTGTATTTTCAACCTCTCAGATCCTACTTCTCTCCTGTAGGATGTACTTAACAAAGACATTTTCTGCGGTACAAAAAGGTAAATGAGCGGGATGAGTTTCTACAACTACAAAATGTACTGTGACTGTGCTATCTTCTGTTTCTCCAAGTAATTTATACCTGCTGCTTCATATTCAAGAACAATGATAAAAGTAGGAGATTATGCTCTACCAAAATTTAAAGCTAAAGCCTAAGCTGGAAAGGTGGAAACTAAAGTGGTAAGTCTATGTACATGTTCCTCTGATAAAAAGAGCATTTATTCTGGGGGTCTTAAGCAACCTCCTGGAAGAAGAAACTTAAATTTATCTGCATTCTTTATCAAGTAGGCAGGAAGATGAACCGCAGAAGCTGAACGGGGTATAGACCCCATTTTTTTTATCAACTCCCGGAAAGAGTATTCTTCGGGTAGCATATCAAAAAGGTCATCTCCCCTGCAAATGTTGTCCTGAATTCTTGAATGACTTAAGAAAGACTTGCGTTTCACACGGTCTGCATGGCTATAGGCAGTCATCTTGAACACAAACTCTGAAATATACCGAAAGCAGAAGCTGCAGTGCCATCCTGCATCAGAGAAGATTAAGTCTGTCTGGCGTGAGTGGCGGTATAGTGTCCGGGGACCAAAGATGTGGACAGTGGCCCGCCAGCTGCTGTAGTCCACAGGGAACTCAAATGAGTACATGTAATTCCTCAGCTCAAGATGCATTATGGGAGGAATGCCTTCACACCACTGAAGCAGCTTCAAAGTATGAGGAGTTGGAATCTCATCTGTATCTGACATGAGAAGAATATCACCGTTGGAAATGCCTGCACGGCGTAACAATGAATTCATCGCCCCACGTTGTTTTGATTCAAGCGTAAATGGGTCCTCAGATGATCCAGGGACTGCAACTCTGCCAGGATAAATGTCATGGACAGTCTTGTGTGTCGCAAAGGCAAATCTTTCCCGATTAGAGGCAAAGAAGTGTCTTTTTGGAATGCCTGTAAATGTAGTATTGGACTCAAGGATCACAAATTTTGATACATAGGGAAAAAGTTCGTGCCATCTGATCTCTAGCATGTCTAACTCATTGCTGAAAATAACAGCATCAAAAATGCGGCGAGGCTTGGAACGAAGGGACCAGCCATGAAGATTGCAAAGGTGGTTCATAGAGACATTTTCTGCATAATAGTGAGGTATACGTTTGAAGGGCGAAGGGGGATTGTCCCAAAGGGGTCGGAAGAAATAAGAAATCTTCTGGCCATGGACAAATATTCCAAACAGAAAAATTGGCACCAGTAATAGAAGTAACAAACAAAAGAACATGGGAGGTTTTCGCCTAGAAATGAGGCGTGGTGGTCGAGGAATCATGCCTTGAACTTGAAGGGGGAACATTGAATATTCTGATTGATTTCCCCACTTTGACGATCAGATTCAGAAAGAACATGTTCACCTGCAGCAGTTTCAACGTAAGGGATCAGAAACAATAATCAAAAGTGATCATATTCCACGAAAATTCATTTTTGAGACAAATGAATACTGAAGTTAAGAAACAAGTTGAGCATAAGTCCGCATGAAAAAGAAAACTCTCCAAACATTACTGAGGGAAGTGAATTTCTTAGCATAGACATAGTGCATAGAAAAATATAGCAAAGTTACAGTTCCAGCTAAACAGGGGATTTAAAAAAATATATATATATATATATTGTAGTTGTTAACAGGAGATAACAAAATTTTAAACCAGTTAAGTAACATTAAAGTCATTTCAATAGACAGCAAAAAATATGAACAAAGGATATTCGGTATGCTTTCTTAATGAGACATTTATCATTAAAAAAAGAAAAAAATATATCTCAGAATGGATACCAACTGGTTTCTGACTTTTAGAAAAAGATTTATGAACAGGAAGTTTTGCAAGAGAGTCATCAAAACAAAGCGGTCAAACACAAACAACCTAAATCTTCCCCTTAATATATCATCAATGATAATAAATGACGAAACTAACTTATAGCATAGATCCTAAAAGGAATGACATTAAGCCTATCAATCACTTGGATTTCAAACTTTATGGTTTCTTTCCTCGTATGATGACATTACTTTGCAAGAGATGATTTTAACTTTTAAACAGCAATTAATAATGCATTCCTACGCCCGGTTATTAAATCATAAAGGAACGGAATCAGAAACTTGAAATCAAACTGTTCGGTAAGAATCTAAAAGGAATCATTTTAATTGATTCCCCCTTCCCCCGAACAAAAGACAAACGAATCACTCACCCCTCTCAGAACCCATGTTAAAAGAAAAACGACATTATCTTGGCAAACCTAAGTTTCAGAAACAAGAAAACTAAAATAATAAATTGGCCTCTCTGGAAATTCTGAAGAAGACACTTTACCCCACATCTCAATGAAACACTCATGCAAATTGCAAACCAGCACTAAAAAAAAGAGATGAGAAATAACAATAACAATTGTGATAAATACATGAAAAAGAAGGAAGAAGAGGAATAGTAAGAGTACCTTAGAGAAGTTGCAGAAGGTAAGAAAAGGGTAGAAATAGCGGGTGAAAATGGATGGAAAAAATCCATTGAAAGATAGGAAAGTGCGATAAAAGGGGAGAGGCTGAGAGCAAAAATAGGTATTGAATGTTGATATGGGCGTCAATATCCCAATGCTTGGTACGAATTGGATAGTTTTCTGATAAAGTTGGACTCTGGGTAGAAAAGAGAAGGAGCCAGAGAGCAAGGGAACGGTGCGAGTAAAAGAGTAGTGGTACATTGGGTTTTACCCAAACTTAAAAAGACAACATTAACTAACACCTTTGCCTTCTACTTATCACTGGCAACACCAACACCCAAATATTCTTTTTTATCATTATTAAAATAACAGGTTTAATTTCATACATCACATAAAAAAGGTATCTTTTTTAAATGTCTTTCATTAGAGTTGATAGACTGAAAACCAGTTATTAGTTACAATGTTTAAAAGTTGAATATAGTTCCATAACTGATCTCACCTAATGGAGAGAAGCGATCACAACTTCACAATCCACTAAACGGTGAACCGGATTGGTCCTCCAAGATTTTATTTTTTTATTTGTGGGTTTTATTATTTACGTTTATTTATTTGAATGAATGTTGTTGGATTTGGATACTGGAAGGTCCGAAGTTGCGGCTCTCTCTTCGGCCTGCCCCTTTCCTGCGTCTTCTCTGCATGCATTTAGGGAGGAACTGAGCGATGAATTGGGGGGGTTTGCTTTACAGTCTCTTTCTTTAAGTGTTAAAAATACCTTTTGATAATTCCTTTCATGGCATAAAACAAATCACATTCTTATTCCATGGATCTTACTTCATTTTAATATTAGCATATCTGAATCACTGTATTCCAGTAAACAAATCTTTGTAGAATATTAATATTCCAGTCAAACTCATTGTAACCCACAATTTGTTTGTTTCCTTTAATGGTCCCAAGGATTTTTCTTTTTCATCACCTCCTCTCAGCTTTTATCCTCAATTCATTTTATCACAGACGCCATAAAATTCAAAATCTTCAACTTCTTTTTTTAGAAAACCGTAAAAGGTACTTGTAAAGTTGTAAGATATTTAGGGAACTCACCGCTTAATAAAAATAAGAAGACGCTAAGTTTATCTCACTCCCCATTTGTGAAGTTTGATAATTATCACACTGCTCTATTTTTTATTAAATAGTGTTTCTTAAATAGTATTTATAGTTTCTAAACTTAAGCTAAATTATTATTTAAACTAGTAAAAATAATCAGGATTAATTAAGAATGAAATAAATAAAAACACATCAATTGGGCCTTTACATAAACCATAAGAAATTTATAAAAAGCTGGATTTTCAAAGTTTCCAGAGTATCACTGCCCATACACCAAAGAAAGGAACATCATCATCAAAGCACAAAAGATAGCATATGAGGACACTAGAAAGTGTTTATAATAGATATTCAACCCTGTACGAACATTATTTAAAACTTATATTCATATTATTATATAAATGAGATCTCTATTTTTTTATTGAATGAATATAATATTTTTTATTATATTAACATTGGAAGCATAATATTTACAAAAAAAAATGGTTATTAGTAAAAAGAAGAGAGAGATATTATGCATTTGAAAAAAAAAGTGAAATATTATATATATATATATATATATATATATATATGAAAAGAAGAAAAATAAAGTGTAATATATATAAAATGAATATAGAAAAAAATAAAAAATATAATTATCAAAAGAATAATTTTTAAAATATAAACACGTATTCGGTTTAAAAATCTATAATGAAAATATACAATATCTTATTTCAAGCATACTTCTCTCGTACGATAAATTCTCGAATTTATACAAATTATTCGTTTCATTTGCTTTAATAATACTTTAATACGTTTAGTATTTTACATGCTTAAATTGACAAATAACCATGTGCTTGTGTCGGCTTTTTCTACATTTTTTTTACTATTAAAATGAATAAGTTTATGAAATTTAAACAAGTCATGTTTCTAAAATAGGGAATAATATTTTATTGGAAGTCAGTAAACTAGCGTACAATCTTTTTTTTTGCCCGATTTTTAGAATTATGAATTAAATTTGAAAATCATTTTTAATAGAATAATGAATAAAAACATGTCTTTTATTATGTTTATATATTGTATCGAACGAAAATATAGCTTTACTTTTTAGATTTTATTTCCATTTGTGTAAAAATCGAGAAAAAAAAAACAAACGTAATTTTGTATATCGAAGTCGTGTAATCAAATGTTATTTAGCATGATTAAATTTCTCTCAACCCAATTTGTTGTGGTGTGCAACTAATTAAGTTGCAATGATACTTAGACTTTTATATATATATATATATATATATATATATATATATATATATATATATATATATATATATATATATATATATATACTATTTCAAATAATAAAGTGTAATAATAATGTTTGATTTTGTTAATTATATATTTTAATTATTGTTATATTTTATTAAATATACGTTTACTTATTATAAATTTAAGCTGAATTATTATATTTGTTTCTTAAAATACATTGGTCTCAATATAGTGGGGTTGGTTTTATCATTCTTTTCCTAATGGATGAACGAAGTATGTTTCATTTTTAATTTTTTATTAATTTTTATATTCAGTTTAAAATTTTAAATTTTTTTATCTATCTTCTTTCTTTTTTAAAATCAGATTTATATTTATTTTTAGTGTCTCTAGTACAATTTTTATCAATTTTTTTTAAATTTAAATATTCTGTCATTAGTTTTTTACACATAAAACTAAAGAAAGTGATAATTTTCCATTTAGTAACATCAATGAGAAGAACAATTAAAAATATGAAGTCAGGTTGCTTCATGACTTCACTAAAAGAATAAATAAAAGTTGAACAACAGACATTCGATTTCCGTTTTTATGTTACATCTCCAGACACAACTTATCCTAATTTGGCATAATGCCATCGTTGCCTTTTCTTTCTTTTCTTTTTTTACAATTTTTTATATGTTTTTAGTAGTTATTTTTTTCCACCTGCAACTTATTATGCTACATGAACTTCACACAATCATATTTGAAAGTCTTGTGAAATTGAAAGAGAAGTTGATTTAAGGATTTGGTTTAAATAATTATTTTAAAAATTGACCTACATCCACTTGTTCAATCAGTTGAATCAATAATACCACTAGAGATGGATAGGTTACTTTTAAAAACTAGACTTTAATTAAATTAGAATAAAATCAATAAAATCGAAGGTTTCTAGGTTTAACTGATTTTAGTAAAAATAATAAATTAGAATCAAACTTTTTTAATATGATTTTTTTTTGTAAAAAAATAATATATTTTAATTTTAAACAATAATTATTTTATTATATTTTTATTTTATTTTAATAATTATTTATTTTATATTCTCTACCATATTTTATATTTATAAATTTTATTTTTTTTATAAAAAATATTCATATTAATAAATTTATATTATAAAAATATTATTTTATTAAATTCGATTAGAATTAATTGAATCATTAATCTTTTAAACTCTAAACTCATATTTCCGCCTGTATAATTACCCGTTGGATTTTAAAAATATTGGTTTAAATACTTTACAAAATAGTTGTAGTGAAGAAAAAATCAATTCAAGAGGAAGTGAATCGAGATCAAATGTATGCACATTTAGTGAAAGAGAATTTTGAACACCAAATTAACAAAGACACTGTTCAAATACCCAATCAATCGTCAAGGAAGAAGAAAAGGCAATCTCATTCTTTTTTGTCGGTGACCATTGCCCATTGACATTTCATGCCAATTCTTCAACCTTACATGTTGGCTTGGGCCATAGTGGGCTTTAGAATTATTTACAAGACCCAAAACAAC